AAGAATTATTATGTAAAATAACTAAATTTCTTAGTACATTTTTATTTCAGAGACTCTTGTTAATCTATTAACTCATACAAGATTGATGACTAACTAGACTTAACTTTTTCAGGTAAAAAGAAACATATGAAACAAAGAAACCTACAATGTAGCATCATTTCAGCTGATTGAAAGTCCACGCGCATCGACCATCTTTTCCCTTCCTTCCTATCAATCCCAATTTTAATTGCTTCTTATCAACCAAATTTATATTAAAAAGAGAAAGTGCAAAAGCCTATCTAGTTAATGCTTATCTCATCAGTCAAATGCAGAAGTGATGAAACAATAGACAAACAAAAAAGGAAAGGAAAATTTTCTGTGTTTAATTAAAGTTATTTTCAGGCAGCAGTGTTTGAGAAACAACTGAAAATATTCTGTTTTGGGCTCTTCATGTGTCCTAGAAATCGTAAGACTCACAAAGAAACTACTAGCGATACTGACAAGAACGTCTGAAGGTACCATGAGACAGCTCAGAAAATGCCCACGTGCTTATAGACAGATGGGTTGTGAAGCGGACTGCAAGTGCCAGACCATTCAAAGGCAAAAATGAAGCTGTGCAACCCAGTTCCGCAAAGTTCCCGTAAATACATAATAGAACTATTCAAAATAAGCGCCCAAAAAAATCAATTTAAAATTTCCAAAGGAAAATTATATGAAGTACAAATGAAATTTCTTAAATAAACCTGAAACGAAAACTCTACACTCAAATGTGCCTCCTCAAACCATACTGTACAATATAAAAGCAATAAAGATAGGACTAACAACCAAAGAACTTATGGTTTCTTAGAAATCGCGAGTGAAAAAGAACAGGTAATAAAATTACCATTTCTTTGTAAATTGTAATATTAGTATCTTAAGAAAACAAAAAATAAAGCATCCACTAATTAGAATCCTGAACAGGCACTAGCTATGAATCTAAATTTCGTGAGCAAGTATAAGTGGGAGGAGTACCATGGCATCAATACACTAGTCCAATAAAACATCACAACATAAAAATTCATATAAATTTATTTTATTTTCGAAACCATGAACCATTGTGGTGGTTAAAATAAATAAATGAAAGAGAATAAATGTACAAGGTAACAGATAACACCAAGATTTTAGATTTTCAACAATGGACATTTAAACTTTTCTTTCTTTTATCAGCAATTAAACCAAAAGAAGTGAAATTATAACAAATAAATAAACTATGATACATGATCATAAAGATAACTTTAGGTTTAAATTATAATGTAAATTTACCATGGTTCATGATAATAAGTAAAAGAGACTGAGAAATAATTATGTAGATCTACAAAAATCATAGAAGCACCTAAAAGAAAACAAACTGATTTATCCAAAACAAACAAAAAAAATGTAAAGATTGAAAACTTTCTTTCAATGTCTGAAGTCGAGAACCAAAATGACCTGGAATTGGCAAAGGGGAAGCGGCGTGCCTGTTGGCGAGAGGCAGCTTGCGGCCGACGGAGGCGGGGCTTCGGCGGCGGCGAACGGAGGGGAGTAACCCTAGAAAGCGACCGCGACAGTGAGCCGGCACTTCGCCAAGCCATTTTGTTCACTCTTTTTCTCTGCTTGCAGTGAAGAGGCGAGTGTGAGGGTTCTTTGCCAAGTTGCTAGGGGCTTAGGGATTTTTGTTATTCTGTGGTGGAGTACCGGTGTTAATGTGCGCACGTGCTATGATCCGTTTATTCACAGACTTTGGCTTTTTGACCGTCAGATTTTGGGATAGCTGCTGACATGTATTGCTGATCTGTTAGGGATTCTAATCTACATGGAGCTCCGGCCCAGCTGACAGGCCCAAATCTTAAGTTGGTGTTTTGGTGATTTTATTTTGTTTTTAAAATAAACTGAAAATAAAAATAGGAAGGAATTTGGGTCCTTTACGTTTATGAACTCATTTCCTATTTTTCATTCTTTCTTCCTACAAAATGTGTGATCAGTGTTTTTATTTTTACAAAATAGAGAATTTAGGCACGAAGAAAAAGAAAATTGTCTAATTATCTTTGAAATTTATATGTATAAATCAATTAGCTTGCAATTGCACAAAACTGAATGTATATAAACTTTAAATTTTATATAGGTCAATTGTTGTATGTGATTTTTCCATCAAGCTTGGAGAATTGCGAGATTATAACTCTATCCAGAATCAGTTCGACTCAATCGATAATCTGACCCAACATAAGCTCGTCGAGTTGTAGCTCGACCTAGCATGAGCTAATCGCGACCAATCCCTACAGTTGTTAAACCAACTCATAGATAACTTCGGATCCTGGATATCTCGGAAGGGATCAGATTGACAGCAATCTTAGTGCAATCTCAGTGCTCAATTTCAAGAATATCGGAGTTTCATTTCAATATTAATTGTAATCCCTTTATTTTTGTTTTTTTCTTTGTACAAAATATGTATATAAACCACTTCTAATGATGAGAAAAGAGTTAGCATTATAGGATCGTTATTGTAAGCTCTCACAACAAATACAAAAATAGTGGACGTAGGCTTAAGAGTTTAACTCCCTGAACCACTTTAAAAACTCTCTATGTTATTTACTTTACTATTTCTAATTCATTACATTGCTAGTTACCCATAATCACGCATACATCTATTCTGATTCCACCAAGGTCAATCAGATCACTCTAGTTGGTGAAAAATCTTGTATCAACATTTTGACGCTAGAAGAAGGGCCTCCGCCAAAATCTTAGAATTTCCGAACAATAGTCCTAGTAACCCGATCACTCAAGACCCATAATGGTTCGTACAAGATCAAAAACCATCACAACGTGGAAACCACCCACCAAGAGGTGCATCAAGACACTGTCGGGCATTGACTACCAGTGCCGCTAGGGCAGCAGGTCGAGAACTAATAGGGGGCGGGGATGTCGAATCTTGAAAATGACCAAACAATGGTTGCACAAGTGGTGCAACAAAACGTGGCTAAATTGATAAATCAATAGTCGGCTCCCCAAGACCTTAACCGGCCACACTTCACCAAAGTCACCCCAACAGGTCGGAATTCAGTTGGCAACCAATTTGGTTCATCGGCACCAAGGAATAGTAGATGATCTCGGCACCGTTAGGCACATTCTGCTCATGAATGAGAATCCCGTGGGCAAACTAACCTTGAGAGGCGACCAGGCAAAGAGCCCATGAGGGAAGATGAAGGTAATGGTTACCAAAGGGATATCGACCTACTCAACGATATCCCCAACGTCAGCATGCTGGTTTTAACCCACGCCAAAGGCATGCTTAAACCTCAAAAGTTCGCGAGATGAGTAACGTGCGCCAATCTAGCAATGATCGACATTCCAGTTATAACCAACATCGTGAGTAACACACTGATGAATATGATAGCACCTACCAGCCAAGCCATCATGACTCGACTTCATGCATCAATGCGCACAATGGAGGGGGCTCATAAGCAATAGACTTGCGAACTATCTGCTTGAGGTAAGGCTGAATAGAGTCAGCTAGCGCAGTCCCCATAACGAAGACTTAGATCAGGTGTAAAGAATCAATCCCAATTTTAATTGCTTCTTATCAACCAAATTTATATTAAAAAGAGAAAGTGCAAAAGCCTATCTAGTTAATGCTTATCTCATCAGTCAAATGCAGAAGTGATGAAACAATAGACAAACAAAAAAGGAAAGGAAAATTTTCTGTGTTTAATTAAAGTTATTTTCAGGCAGCAGTGTTTGAGAAACAACTGAAAATATTCTGTTTTGGGCTCTTCATGTGTCCTAGAAATCGTAAGACTCACAAAGAAACTACTAGCGATACTGACAAGAACGTCTGAAGGTACCATGAGACAGCTCAGAAAATGCCCACGTGCTTATAGACAGATGGGTTGTGAAGCGGACTGCAAGTGCCAGACCATTCAAAGGCAAAAATGAAGCTGTGCAACCCAGTTCCGCAAAGTTCCTGTAAATACATAATAGAACTATTCAAAATAAGCGCCCAAAAAAATCAATTTAAAATTTCCAAAGGAAAATTATATAAAGTACAAATTAAATTTCTTAAATAAACGTGAAACGAAAACTCTACACTCAAATGTGCCTCCTCAAACCATACTGTACAATATAAAAGCAATAAAGATAGGACTAACAACCAAAGAACTTATGGTTTCTTAGAAATCGCGAGTGAAAAAGAACAGGTAATAAAATTACCATTTCTTTGTAAATTGTAATATTAGTATCTTAAGAAAACAAAAAATAAAGCATCCACTAATTAGAATCCTGAACAGGCACTAGCTATGAATCTAAATTTCGTGAGCAAGTATAAGTGGGAGGAGTACCATGGCATCAATACACTAGTCCAATAAAACATCACAACATAAAAATTCATATAAATTTATTTTATTTTCGAAACCATGAACAATTGTAGTGGTTAAAATAAATGAATGAAAGAGAATAAATGTACAAGGTAACAGATAACACCAAGATTTTAGATTATCAACAATGGACATTTAAACTTTTCTTTCTTTTATCAGCAATTAAACCAAAAGAAGTGAAATTATAACAAATAAATAAACTATGATACATGATCATAAACAGTGATTTTAGGTACATCATGCGCTCTCTACACTATCACTCATCTCTTCCCCCGCAACAACTCAAACCACAATTATACAACTCCTGGTAGGCAACTGATCGCATCTTTCGATTTCAGGCTACAATGTTGCTTTCTCATCCCACTAAATAATACATACATGGATATGTCATAAGTAAATAATATCATGTCAATAGTGACCAGAATCCATAACATTTAAATAATATTATAATGCATACATGGATATCAAGAAATATTAATATGCGACTTAAATTCACTCATTTCGTCACCAATGCTGAGATATCATGGCAGTTGAGTTTACCATCAAGCAACAACCATTAACGAAACGAAACCATACTTTATATTAAAAAGGTATTGAGTTTTTTTGTGAAAGGCTTTGATAAGATAACACGGAAAGGATCCAAAATGAAACTACAAAATTAACGATCAATAGCATAACATACACAAATTAGTCACAAACACCTAAAATCACCATCTATGAGATTATCCAAGAAATTACGAAAATTCCATTGTCCATTCTTGAAAGTAAAATAAGCGATAACAAAATTTTATCCAATTTTCCTACGCTAGAAAGATAACTTCCCAAGGGAATTCCTGATTGCCTCAACATATCCTTGCACTGATATGTGCTGATCCAATAGCTTTTCAAGTTACTGCAAGCAAAAGATACAAAGTCATATTAGCAATTTTAATCAAGAAGATGGGGGTTCGAAATTAAATTATAGTATAGATCTAATGACACTTTAAAATAAATAATTTCCCATAATCCATGCATATAGGTTTACCAGTGTAATCTTAGCATTCTTCAAATTAATCAACAAATAGAAGCCATATTTGGTTCATGGTTTCAGCAAAGTAAAAAATGCACGCATGAATGCAAAGGAAGTCCTAAATGATATGCTATAGAGACAAAAATATATATCTATATCTAGATATATATATATTTGCAGGAATCATTGCAGCAACTGTTAAGGCAACCAGATCCAGTAAACGATCATGAAACCAAATTGCTAGATTACTTCTTGTTTTATAATAAACACTAATACTCTTCTCTCTATTTTAACTGTTATTCCTTGCTTTGAAAGTTCTTTAGGTTATGGTTGTAAAAATATAATAGAAAGCTGCAAAAGAACTCAAATTGAGTGATAACTTAAAATGTGACCCTGTACTACATCGATAGAATAGAGACAGTATGTCAACAGAAGAAGAATTGTATATGCACACTAAAGAAACTAGCTCCAAAATTCAAAAAGGGGGCAGCAGAACCTAATTCACACTTAAGAAACACAATTAGAGTTTACTACTATGCTTTCAGATTTTCATATTGCAGAAAGCTAAATGTATAACATATTGTTTTAAAGAAAGTGAGGTAGGGAAGCTGCAGTATGTATACCTCCTCAAATACTTCAAAGAAAATATCTAGTCTTCACGGATTTTGTTTTACACCCACATAAATTCTTCAAGTACTATAAACAGATTTATACCTCTTTAAATTAAAATAAACAATGAGGGTAATCGGCCTCAAAAAGTTTTACACCCCCATAAATTCTTCAAGTACTATGAATAAACTTACAAACTGAGCTGTAATGCATGAAATGCACAAGACTCCATCAGTTGCACTAACAAGTAAAATAAGATATGTGAAAGCAGAATGCTAGAGACCTCTTTTACAAGCTAAAAGCTATTTATTGACTTTCTGTTCAATTCAACAAGAAAATCAAAATAATCTAAAGCATGAATTGTAAAGTTATTTAACAGAGAACCAGAAACATCACTAATAGTTGAACTGCATAAGAACCACCCAATTATACATTCAAGAAAACCAAAAATTATTATGTAATATAACTAAATTTCTTAGTACTTTTTTTTTTTTTTTCAGAGGCTCTTATTAATCTATTAACTCATGCAAGATTGATGACTAACTATACTTAACTTTTTCGTGTAAAAAGAAACATATGAAACAAAGAAACCTACAATGTAGCATCATTCTTGTGCCTTTAGCTGATTGAAAGTCCACGCGCATCACCCATCTTTTCCATTCCTTCCTATCAATTCCAATTTTAATTGCTTCTTATCAACCAAATTTATATTAAAAAGAAAAAGTGCAAAAACCTATCTAGTTATGCCTATCTCATCAGTCAAATGCAGAAGTGATGAAACAATAGACAAACAAAAAAAGAAAGGAAAATTCTCTGTGTTTAATTAAAGTTATTTTCAGGCAGCAGTGTTTGAGAAACAACTGAAAATATTCCGTTTTGGGCTCTTCATGTGTCCTAGAAATCATAAGACTCACAAAGAAACTACTAGCGATCCTGACAAGAACGTCGGAAGGTACCATGAGACAGCTCAGAAAATGCCCGCGCGTTTATAGACAGAAGGGTTGTGAAACAGACTGCAGGCGCCAGACCATTCAAAGGCAAAAATGAAGCTGTGCAACCCAGTTCCGCAAAGTTCCTATAAATACATAATAAAACTATTCAAAATAAGCGCCCAAAAAAATCAATTTAAAATTTCCAAAGGAAAAAGATATAAAGTACAGATGACATTTCTTAAATAAACCTGAAACGAAAACTCTACACTCAAATGTGCCTCCTCAAACCATACTGTACAATATAAAAGCAATAAAGATAGGACTAGACAACCAAAGAAACTTATGGTTTCTTAGAAATCGCAAGTGAAAAAGAACAGGTGATAAATTTACTATTTCTTTGTAAATTGTAGTATTAGTTATCTTAAGAAAACAAAAAACAAAGCATCCACTAATTAGAATCCTGAACAGATAGGTGGGAGGAGTACCATGGCATCAATACACTAGTCCAATAAAACATCACAACATAAAAATTCATATAAATTTATTTTATTTTCGAAACCATGAACAATTGTAGTGGTTAAAATAAATAAATGAAAGAGAATAAATGTACAAGGTAGCAGATAACACCAAGATTTTAGATTTTCAACAATGGACATTTAAACTTTTCTTTCTTTTATCAGCAATTAAACCAAAAGAAGTGAAATTATAACAAATAAATAAACTATGATACATGATCATAAAGATAACTTTAGGTTTAAATTATAATGTAAATTTACTATGGTTCATGATAATAAGTGAAAGAGACTGAGAAATAATTATGTAGATCTACAAAAATCATAGAAGCACCTAAATGAAAGCAAACTGATTTATCCAAAACAATCAAAAAATGTAAAGATTGAAAACTTTCTTTCAATGTCTCAAGTCGAGAACCAAACTGACCTGGAATTGGCAAAGGGGAAGCGGCGTGCCTGTTGGCGAGAGGCAGCTTGCGGCGGACGGAGGCGGGCCATCGGCGGCGGCGGACGGAGGGAAGTAACCCTAGAGAGCGACCGAGACAGTGATCCGGCACTTCGCCAAGCCATTTTGTTCACTCTTTTTCTCTGCTTGCAGTGATTAGGCGAGTGTGAGGGTTCTTTGCCAAGTTGCTAGGGTTTTAGGGATTTTTGTTATTCTGTGATGGAGTACCGGTGTTAATGTGGCACGTGCTATGATCCGTTTGATTCACAGACTTTGGCTTTTTGACCGTTAGATTTTGGGTTAGCTGCTGACATGTATTGCTGATCTGTTAGGGATCCTAATCTAAATGGAGCAACATGGTCCAGCTGACAGGCCCAAATCTTGAGTTGGTGTTTTGGTAATTTATATTGTTTTTGAAATAAATTGAAAATAAAAATAGGAAGGAATTTGGGTCCTTTACGTTCATGAACTCATTTCCTATTTTTCCTATAAAATGTGTGATCAGTGTTTTTAATTTCATAAAATAGAGAATAAAGGCACAAAGAGAAAGAAAATGTCTAATTATCTTTCAAACTTATCAGTACAAACTGATTAGTTTGCAGTTGCACAAAATGAAGGCATATAAACTTTAAATTTTATACAAGCCAATAAGAGGGAAATATCCATTGCAAATTTATTAAATGCTCTTTTCATGGCTTATTTGCTTTACATTCAGAAACTAGGTACTTTTGGGAGTGAGCTTGTGCTCGTGCACTGTAATTGTCTGTTGAATGTGTATATTCTGTCGGATGATATATTAACGGTGACTGTAGCTCCCCTGTAATGTAAATTTTTTTGAGAATTTTGACCCTTAATGCAAAGACAAACTTCATGAAGATCACCGTCTTTCCAGTTGATATTTACGGTCATTCCGCCACGTGCCTTCAATCCTTTAACACACCCGTTCGCCCATTTATCCAGGGGAATAGCCGGAAGTAAATACAAGTCGTTTAGGGTGCTCTGCATAAGCATTTCTGCAACCGCTGCTGTAATACTGAAACCAAAGGTTGTAGAAATGATAGGTCACAACTTTTGAATTATATTTAATCTGGGGACAATTTAAACAATCATCAAGGTGTTTGGGGAAGCAATTCCGCAACAGCATTGATATATTTACAGGATAAGAAAAATAAGGAAAGAATGTAAGACATGTTATGCAACCAACGCAAAAGTCAATATGCTTATACAGAAAGCAGAAGCATTTGCTTTATTGCCACACAGTTTCACTGGAAAGGATAAGGTCAGTTCGGCTTACCCAAAGTTGGCATCAATCTGGAAAGGAGGATGAGCTGCAAATAAGTTGGTATATAGACCCCCATGAAAAGCTTTCGCATGATCTGGATCCACCAAGTTAATCAAATGCTTGACCATCCGATATGCATGCTCACTGTTATGGAGACGTGCCCACAGAGCAGTTTTCCATGCCATTGACCATCCAGGGCCCTCCTCTCCTGCTTCCAATGATCCACCATTAAGAGATGAAAATATCTAACTATTACTCCAAGGAATATCTTAATAATGAGATGAATTCTGAGAAAGGTGACTTTCAGGCAGGAAAACACAAAGTTCTACAAATTCTCCAGTTTCATAAGTTTCCCATGTGATGCTGTTTAATTACAGCAATGAAGAGCTTTGGCATCCATAGCATGATGTCCAAAAACAAACAAGACAAACCTGAAGGGGAAGCTGGAGGATGAACTTCCTTACTTGCCTCTGTAAACTTATTTGTATCTCAGTACATCTTGGCAATACTCAAATTATTTTGATTTCAATTTGGGAGATGTGCAACCAAATGACACCTATGCTAGATGGTTATTACAAAATGCGAGATCAAAACGTTCAATCTAGTCATTAATACATACAAACCTCGTTTATGTAGGGTCTTCTCAGCAGCTTTACAAAGGTCTGGATTTCCTTCAATGGTCATTGTGTGCCCTGGAAACAGGCCAAATAGATGAGAAAGATGTCGATGATGTACCTCTGGATCCTTAAAATCTTGTGCCTGCCCTACCATGTACAGTATTTCTTAGGCCATAATAAAATTTGGCACTTTGGATATTGTGCAACTTAAATTCAACACCATCATACCCATTCCATGATTGAACCATCTTCTGCAATTTTTGTTGGGCGAAGCCTTGGTAGAGCCTTCTGCACTTTTTCAAGAAGAGAATCATTCTTTCTTCCCAAAACCTATTTTCAAAAGATGAACAATTAGATTATAATGGCATAAAAAAATGAAAAATCTGTTTATCAAGGCTGATATAAGAATTAAGGGCTTCACCTCAGTGGCGGAAATAAAAGCAGAAAAAACTTCTCTAATGATTGCCATGTCCATGGTTGATGAGTAGCTCACACAAGCTAGCTTACCATCAGGAGCAATAAAATCATGTTCAGGTGAAGTTGAGGGGTTGGTTTCAAGAAAGCCATCATTGCCTTCAATCAACCAATCCAACAGAAATGATACACATCCTTCCAACAAAGGATACGCCTTACTTCTAAGAAAATCCTATTCAAGCAGAAAACATATCATTTACTCACTATTTGCTGAGCCAAATGCTTTTAGGAAAAACATATGCAGTAGTTAACAGAAAGAAACATATACATCTTTAAGAAAGGGTATGAATAAAAAGAAAATCTAATTGTAAACCCAATAAAAAAAATGAGATCTATATGATATTTGAGTTCTTGCAAGTCCAAAATCTCAAGAAACAACAATCCTAGAGTCAATATTTACGAACAGCAATTGTTTTATATATTCTGAAAAAGGAATGGAACACTAGCATGCACAAAGGGCAAAAATGAAAAAATAAAAACATCTAGAAGAAATGTAACCAGTACAATTTGGATTTTCACTTTAAATAGGTGGAGATTTGACCATTTTACTTCATTGACTAAGCCAAGAATTCAAAGGTAGTGAACTGTTAATATATCACCATTCTTAAGAGAGACTGCTGAATTTTCTTGCAACATCTCCAAACTTAAAGAATGACTGAAGTACTTAGTTGGACTAGTTTGGCTCTTACATCTCATCTGGTTGGGAGCAATAACACAGGTTGAAACTGAAAGCAAACCCTAGGCTCCATTGGATTTGTAAATCCCATCTCTAACAGTCAATGAAATATTTTTTTTTTTATATATACTATCTACACTCTAACAGAGCCAAACTCACCACCATTTTAGAAACATTCAAATATATAAACAATAATTCCATATCTCCCAGTTAAAAAGACCATCCACAATGAATGAAGAGACAACTACAATAATTCCTACAGAAGAAAAATAATTTACAATTAGAAAAGACAAAGACTAACATTAAGAATTCAGTCAAATACTCGAACTTCAAAGAATGGGCAAAGGCAAGAAGTTATCAGATTCAAGTATATGCTTATAGTAGAGGTCTTGCCTTAGGCCATTGTATCACAAAATTCTCTAAGACTGGCTTCTCATTGCATTCCATTATCTACTCTTCAATTCAACAACTGTGAGCAAGAGGTGTAATTTTCCAAATGCAGGGAACAGACAATGCCAATCATTAACTAAAGAAAGGCATAGGCAAGTATTGAATGGAATCTTACTTTGTCCATGGTATAATTATAGTGCTCCCAGAGATGTGTACAAAGCCATGCTCCACCCATCTGCCACATAGCCCATACAGCTTTACCTCGATCTGCTGATGATTTTGCCCATATATCAGACTTATGATGAGTAACCCAGCCACTTGCTGCATAGTTCACCTGTAATAAAAATAAAAACAACATTTGGCATTGAAAATTTAGAATGGCAAACTGGAAAAAGCATCTATGAATTGTTAAATGTTGACTCAAATTGAGGAGAACTTCTTCCCTTAAAATTCCTCGAAATAACATAGGAACTAAATTTAATGAAAATGAAAGTTGTCCAACTTAAACTTGAAGGAAAAAAGTTCTTACTTTTGCAGTTTTAGTTCCATTGATTGACAGAGAGGTAAGGAAATCAAATAAAGGCTCCTGGCACTCACTAAGGTTGCAAGGCAACGACAGCCAATAGTTCATTTCAAGATTGATGTTTACATGAGGAGCAGAACTGGAAAAGAAATAAAGAAGTCAGTGACATCTAGGTGAAATGTTGATGCAAATGACAGAAGGAAATGGAATGTTTTACATGTGTTTAAAATTATTATGCGCTATTACCGACAAGAAGGGTTTACCAAAATTTTGTATATTGATCAAAACATAAAATAACATGACATAGTAATTTACTTTACAGCCACATAACTTGAAATCAAATATAGACTGATTCCAGGGAGGTTGACAAGTACTAAAAAAGATTTTAAGTATCTGAGGAGAATAGAAGAAGGATCTTCTATTTTTCAATTAACTATTCTTCTTATCAGAAAGATTTAATTACATAACTTATTTCCATTGCATTTAATAAAAGAATCCCTGAACTAAAGCATCAAAATTAGGCGTTTTACTGGCTGCCTAATTTTGTTCAGCAATAAGAAACAATGAGAAAACATAAAACATCTTTGTTCAGCAAAAACAAAAGAAAACAGCAGGAAGCAATCAATGAGAAAGACACATAATCAAGATTCACAGAACAAGGATCAGTGAAATCATATAAAAAGAAGAGAATGAGAACATACTCCCACATCGGCTGCAGATCTTCGTTCCATATTCCCTGCAGGTTGGCCACCTGAGTTCCAGGTCTTGAACTAGAAATAAGCAAATATCGACCAAACTGGAATAGAAGCTCCACCAAAGACGGATCTTCATCAATTTGAAAAGATTTCACCCTCTCTGCAGTCGAAACTGTACCATCAGTTCTTTTTAAGCTTTTTGAAAGCTGTATTGAGAGACGGTGAAAAAGGTTCTGATAGTCATCCAAATGTCGTGCATAAAGCTCGGAATATGAAAATTTTCTAATTGAGTTTAATGCACTAAGAGACTCTGCAGTAGGATCCTTTTGAGAATCTGAAGGCTTCATAAACGGTCCATCAAATGAGGATGAAGCCACTAGAAGTATAACTGCCCAATCTGAACCTTCAACTTTCAACTTCTTGTTGTCTTGGGCATGTATGATGCCTCTACCATCACTAAGTTGAATATCAAGAACTGCAGAAAACTGAATTCCCTTTGGTTCATCATTTGTCTCCACTTTTGGTGGGATTCTTTTTCCAGGGCAATGTCCT